TGGATCTTGCAAAACGAATAGGGTTATCATAAAAAATGATGAAAATAATTAGACAGTATTATATACATTTTATTAGTTTTAGTCTCAATAAAATGTTTGCATAAGTTTGGATATAAAAAAAAAGTAATGAAACATAAATAGAAGAGCTGAACGGATAATTATTAACATTAAAAAAAAAGGAATGCTTGTAAGTAAATTTTTGAAATGTTAGTGTTGATAAGCACTATACAGATGTATCATTGCACGTACTCTGAGATAATCAGTGAATACTCATTCACAGTTATTCGACGATGCTCCACTCTAATATTATTACTAAAATTTTGTTTTTGAATTTTTTAGAATTCTCTAATGAATATTGTTCGAATATATGTTCTGTGTTTATTTTCTTAGTATCATTATATACCGATAGTTACAGAGATCTAACGTTATGTAAACAAGAGAAAAAAAAACTTCAAAGAATGTCGAATATGAAAATGAAATCGACTTTGACATCTAAAACAATAGTGGATTAAGATGAACAATTAAGTAATCAATATATTAGTATTGTCCAACATTGAATAAATAAAAGAGTTGTTGTTCTTATCGATTTGTTTGATCAACTCAAACGAGAAGATTTTACCAAAAACAGAATTGCTTTTTACTCACAAATGTATAATTATCGGTTTTTACTCGTATGAACTTTAGTTTGAATTTTAAGAGATTCGATTTTTTTCAAATAATATAACGATTTCCATTTTTAGAAGGAAAAACGAATGGACCAAATCTGATGACATTCTAGTGTCAAGATGATACCATGACATGAGACTGAGTTAACTCGAATGATCACATTCATGTAACAACAATCACTTCGAAAGAGGCTGATTTTTTTAGCCAGTGTCCGACTTTGAAACCAACGAGAACGAACAATTCCTATATTTTGATCTTTATCTGAAAAGTCATTATGTGTTCGAACACATTTTGAAATCATCAAAGATGTTTGTCTTCATATTCTTCAACTTGTTGAGAAATAAGAAGATGTTCAAGCTATAATGATGATAGACTATGTATAAATCAATCTTTTTTATTCGAGTTTCGGTTATTGTTTTTTTTCGACTTGGTTCATTTCATTTTCTTGTTGGCTATATAGAGACGTTTTGTTTGTTTGCAATGCACTTTCAATATTGTATCCATTTTAGACTTGATACTATCTTATTGTCTTTGAAAGCCATGTAAGGACGACTGTGGAACTTATTCATGAGAAAATACTTTCTGTGATTCCTTAAGAATAGACAATCAATTTTACAAGATGTTCGAGCACATCAATCATAATGGGTTTCATTTTAAATGGAAGAATGATGATTTTCTAAGATATAAACAAATATTGCATCATATCACAATCTAATAAACATGTTATTTTAGTAGAAATATTCGCTAGAAAAACCTATAGTTGTTGTACAAGAAAACGGTCATAAGTAGTAGAATAAAAATAGATAGATATTTTTATTCGCTTCAAATAAGTTTTTACAATTAGTAGTGATTATATTTATCTTTTTTCTTTTTTTTAATAGTCGTTATGCCCTTCAAGTCTATTGAAACGATAGCAAATGACAAAAATATATCTTAAAATGTAGAGTTTTCTAAATTTATTTTCATGAATCATTTCCTATTTCTAGGATTTATTTTATATATAGAATAAATATTTCAACTAAAACAGAAATATATTAAACTCTTAATCTTCAATATTTATAATCGATAATAATATTATAACTTTTTTTCATAATACTTAGAAAAACTTCGATCATGTACAATCATCTATACCATTGAATCGATCTCGATTTTGTTGGAATCTATTTATTTAATATATGAATGACTGATTAATTGAATCTGAAACAATAGTTTTTATAGTCAGTTTGTCTTAACAAGAATTTTTGCAGTTAACTTGCTTATTGTACAAGATATACTTATCATCGAGTACATGATTTTTATTATCATAGTCTAGGCGTTTTCATTTATCAAACAAATCGATATTTATTCGAGAAATCAATCCTTAAATATTTGACAGAGAACTTCAATGTTAAATAATGATGTCGAAGTACTTAACGAAATCATATTGTATTGAATTTTTTGCTTGCTAAACTTCAGCTCTTCAATATCTAGTATAAATATATCATTTGTTCTCATAGAACCTGTGCTACTTTTCAAATAAACGAGATCTCTATTGAAAAGGCTCAAAGACCAATAGTTTTGTTTATCGAAAAAATTCTCTATTCTCATCTTTTCATCAAACATAACTCGACTCTTGAAAGCAGAATCTGTGAAATATATGACGCAAAGGAACATAGAAATCATATTCTAGAATACTCTGATCTCGTAGTCGTACTTTTCCTTTCTAAATAAACAACGACCAACTATATATATTCCTTCGATAGACACATCTCATTTCGTTACTATTTATTGTTTGCACAAAACTTAACTACTTTCATGCATAATGAAATCTTATTTACTATCAAACTATTTCTGCCTGCAATACACAATTCACATCAACTGCTGATAGGTCCTTCTTTTTGATTATTAGAATATTGCTCTGGTAGGTCGATGTTGCCATTAACTCGTACATTTTCGTAATCGCAACAAAAATTTGGTCAGAGATGATTGTTTACCTCTTAGTATGTTGAAATAAGCAACTTGACTGGTTGATGTGCAGAGCATGACATCTCCTTTCTCTTTACAAATTTCATCTTGCCGTTATTTTTGTCTTATTCAATAATCCTAAGGACAAAGCAGATGTTGTGTTCTGTATATCAACGGAGAAGTTGCCTATTACAAATTACCAACAGGTAAATGATCGATTCTGTTCAAAGCTATGTTATGATGACGAAAACGTGGGGGTTGATGGCAACATCGATCTGCTAGAGCAACATTTAATACATAGTTAAAAGTGTAAATAATTTTCTAAATAAGCTGATGTTTTGTTCCTCAAATATGATAATTGGTGGACGTGGAAGTTATTTATCTAAATAATGAAAAGGTTAGTTTTGGTGAATAAATTGAATTATGACAAGGTAATGTATTGTCACTGATATGTTTATATGTAAAACTATTCTCGTGATACGCTTATCTTCAGATTTCATGTAAGAAGAAATACAATTGAATGTTCTATGATAATAGATTGCATTTGTTGAATCTTCGTCTATGGGCAACAGGCTTTTAACCTATGGGACATGAAGAGAAAATACGCTAAGAGAAGATGTAAAACAGAAAGATGTTAATTGGTTATTGGAAAAAAACATGAAAATAGATGAGTCTCATTTTAGATGAATGTTGGAAAGCAAGAGTATGTTGGCGATTAAAAAGAATAATTGTTTCATTAAATAAATGTGTATCGAATATCATCTATGGACGTAATAAAACATGTAAAATTATAATTTATTTTGTCATCGATCAAATTAATAAAGAATTTTTTTCTAATATTTTAGTTTAAATTAAGGAAAATAAATCATGTTAATAGTGGCAAAGGGTGTGGATGTGGGTGTGGGTGGGTTTGGGTGTTCACTTTAACTACACCCAGACCCAGATCCACACCCACACTCACACCCACACCCACACCCACACCCACACCCACACCCACACCCACACCCACACCCACACCCACACCCACACCCACACCCGAAAAACTGTTGTTTCAAAATGAATCGTCTAAGCAGAATTTTCAAAGTATACTTAGTTTTTAGTAGATATACTCATTCATACATTGAAAAGTTTTGACTAGGTGACCAAACATTTAAGTTGGATAATAAACACATTTTGAAGAACAACAGTTGTTCTTTCAAACCACAGCTCACTACAGATGTTGCAATATTTTGCGCATGAGTTATAGCCCGTACAAAATTTGAAATGAAAGTAAAGAAAAAGTGCCTGCAAGTCATTACACAAATTAATTCTAAAAACTAGAGGTGTTATAACATTTGGATAGAATATCAAATCAAAAGTTGCGAGATCCCGTTCGAAAGAATAAATGCTGCTCATTAAAATGCGCTAATTATCCAACTTCAATGTTTTGATCTCATGGTTAAAACTTTTAAATTTTAGAATGATTATGCCCACTAAAATTTAAAAGTACTATGAAAATTCTACTTTGACAATTCATTTTGAAACAATAGTTTTTCACTGTTCCGTTCAGTTATTTGTTCGGTTTCTCATAAGCTGTCACAGGTTGAAAATTAAAGCGACAATTATATACATTAAATTTAATTATTATGAAAAATCACTACTGACCTAATATTTTCATACCACTATAAATTGATTTTCTCAAAAATATTTTTAAGCCTTTAACGAGCGAATTTCGGACTGTCAAGTTCTGTCGATGCCGAAGATACAGTCAGGTAAACGACTGTGACCTAGATTATTATGCACAAGAGTCAAGTCACCAATATTGAAGTACTGCACGTGTGATATCTCCGTTTATAGCGATTTGCATGAGAATAATTTATCTAGAAGCTTTGATAAAGTGAGACAAATGGTGCAATAACCACACACTATACAGAATAAGCAGCGAAGCCACTGTTCAGTGGAAGTATAACTCAAGTTCAAAACGAAGCTTTTGCTCAATCTTTCAGTTTGTTACATGTCTACCAAGTCTCTTTTTTCTTATTCAAATTCCCTGTTACAGAGATAAATAAACGCTGTCATTTGAAATTGAATTGATAGAAATTTATTCCGTCTACTGCAATTCTTCGATGAAAAACAAAAAAGTAGCACATATTTGTTACATCCACTGTTAAACGGTTAATCAAAATGTAGCCCGTAAAAATATGTAAGAAGTGACATAGAAAAGCCTTAGGTCATTGTTAAATGAAAAATACTTTGGCTAAATATTAAAACTTGCTACTCTTTTGTTTTTTTGCACGAAGAAGCGAAAAAACATTCTATATAAGGTGCCTAAAGATTATATAAGAGATATAAGTTTCTTTTGAAAGATATAGAACGGAGACTTCATATAACATTAAAGAAAACTAGTAAAGATGTCATCACTTGCCAAGCAACTTGAACTATTTCAATTGCAACTTTTTCGTTACGAACTTCCATTCATTCTCGGAATCGGTATCATCGGCAACTTCATTAATATAATCATATTTGGAAGACGTACACTACGAAAAAATATGTGTTCATGGTATTTTATTTGTTTAGCGGTGGCTCATTTATTCTTGCTTACTTTCTCTTGTCTACCAAGAATCATATCTGCTTTAACTGGCTTCGATTTGTTAGGTCGATCTCTTACTTTTTGCAAGTTTCGTGCATATGCAATAGGTGCAAGTCTAGCGCTTGCACGGCATTTTCTTTGTTTAATTGCAATCGATCGATGGCTCATTACTTCATCAAGTTTAGAGACTCGTAATCAGAGTTCACCTCGTATAACTCGAAGAGTGATTGTTGGCAGTTTTATCTTTTGGTCTCTATTTAATATTCATGTACCAATCAAATATGACATTGGTCGCTTAGGCTGTTCACCACCATTAGGTACTAGTTATGAACTTGTCTATTCAATATATAATATTACCGCATCAATGGTACCTATGTTTATCATGAGCCTATTTACTATACTGGCTGTACGCAATCTACGTTTACGAATGAGAAATAGAATTCAACCTCAACCGATTACAACTGGTTCAGGCGCCACTCCAATGACAAAGTCATCAAATGTTACTACTCAACAGCTTCGATAATCTAGACGTGATGGTCAACTCATTCGATTATCCATACTTCAAGTGATTGCTTTTTTAATACTTAATACTATGCGAGGAATTTTTCCACTGTATTCATTTTTGATGAATTCACGTGGTAATCTTACAGCTGATGACAGAAGTCAGTTACTCTTCTTCAGTGGTTTTGGTAATAATCTACTTTTCACATATGCAGCGGTATGTATTGTTGCTTTTGTATAAAGGAAATTTAAATATTTTGTCATTTTTGTTTTCTAGAATACATTTCTTCTATACACATTAGCATCAAAAACATTTCGCGCTGAATGTTTAAACGTATTCGAAAGATATATTAGTATTGTAAAACAACGTCTTGAAGCTATGTTTTAAGACGAATGTAAATTTGTTGTCTAGTGTATTTCATGTTGCTTATGAATGTCTACTTGACAGTCAATCTATATTTCTGTAATGTGTTGATGACATCTGGAACGTATCGCCAAGATACTATACACAGACACATTTGATGAAAAATATGTTAGGCTATGTGGGTGTGGGTGTGGATCTGGGGTGTGAGAGTGGGTGTCAGTTGTTGTGAAAGTAGGAGGGGATTTAAATCACTTGAAGATTATGACTGTCTCTTTTATAGCCGTATCCACATGCACCCACGCCACAGTCGCCCAACCCCACACTCGCACTCACCCTTCAACACTTATTTTCAACTGTATTTCCCCAATAATTCCTAACTGAATAATTGATTGGAATGAAGGTGAATCCAAAGCAATTCGAGTCAGAGCATAGTTTTAAAAACGTTTTTCAGATCGGCAGTGACGCAGACAAATCCATTTAATCACCGTTTGCAGACTCCAACCTTTCAGTTTAGGGAATATCGTAAGTCGATGGATTTTGAAGATGTTGGTGTGAATGTGAATAGTTTTGAGTGAAGAAAAGAGAAACGGTCACACGGCTACCACACGTCAAAATTATTGAAAAAGAGCATTTTCAAGATTACATGTGTAATTGTTCAATCAACGAGAAGCTTGTGTGAATTACGACTGGTCGTTAAAACATAACTGGCGACACCCTCATATGTATACCCAAATTTACCCACTGCACCTGGTGTTATTGTACCGATTTTGCTAGCATTCGTCGTGTAGACATGTGTAGTCTTATTGCGCTGATAGTAGCGATGAAGTGATTCTGCGCCTGATCGACGCATCGAGTAGATGTATCCAGCAATGCCTTCAAATTTCCAAAGTCCAATAGTAACACGAACTGCATTTGTGCCAATTTCTTTCCAGTTGGCTGTGTAGAAATGTTGGGCGTTGCGAATGTTGCCGTATCGATATAAAGGAAGCGTAAATTGTGGTTGAAAATCTTTTGCATCATATATTTTGTCTGCAACACCTTTGGAGACGTAATTGAAACGACCGATACTACCAGGAACAGTTGTACCAATTTCTTCTGAAATATGTGGTATAGAAATGATCATACCCGTCTCGAGCATATCGATATAGAGGAACCAGACGATCTGAATAAAGTATAATCGTTTGAAAGAATAAGCAGGCTATCTAATTTATCCATAGTGAAGCAAATACAGAATATGCCAATAAAAATATATAAATCTTTCAAAAACAAGAAAGTACCTAAATCCAACATGTATACGCCACTCAATACGTCCGAAATGAAGTACTTCAGATATTGATAAAACAGATCTTCATAAATAAAGTAGTTTATTTTGCTTGTACTAACAAATGATATCCGATGTACTAAGAGGATGGTTGCTGTATACTTTTTTGTAAGACTTATTTCTATATCTTAAGAAAAGATGGTAAGATTCAGGCAATGTTTGAGAAGATGCATATACATCAGAATGAATACTAAATAGAAGTTTTTTTAACTTTAACATATGATTTATAATATCATTCTTCAAATTATTTCTATCAATAAATGACTTGTGAACGATAAAAATATACAATGTAAGTTCTTCGAGATTCATCATTCGACATAGAAGTAACAAGAACATATCATCATAACCATGTACACCTAATGAACAACTGAATGAAAATTCGTAGAAAAAAAAATTAATTATCTCGTTTTCATTTTTATGAAATAAATTTACTGTGTTAATCTCCAGTAACGATGAACAAACTATTTACCTTGATATAAAGTTTCGTCAAGGTTGAACAGGAAAGTGTCGGAATTTGACCAGTGAATGTTAATCGTTCATTATAGTGAATGTATGCAGTAGAACATGAATTGAATTTTAAACAAACTAAATTAGTGAAGACAAAAAATATACTATTATAGATTCTTTTCATAATATCATTACTTAATATTTCGTGATTTTTGCCATCAATTGTAATAGCGAGTGTGGATAGATGATTTTTGAAGATCAAGTCTAAATAAATTTCGTTCTATCATATTTTGGAAAACGAACAAAACTTATTTGTTTCATCTTTAGAAACATAAGTCTAACAAGATTTATTTATTTTTTACATCTGAATCATCATTCTCCCTTTGTATGTGTGAGCTTTTCATATTAGAACAAGAATCGAAATAGAATATCTTACTGTTAAAAAGACGTTCAGCTATGTCGCATTATTAGATATAAAAAACACCGAATTCATATATATTTTAGGCGAAATTTTCAAACAAAATCGATCAAGTATTGGATCAATCATTGGATAAACACGCTCATCCGATGAATATTTCATTAACATTAATTCATTTGTAAATATAGAATCATTTGCGATTGTATCAAGTCGCACATTAACATCCATTGAAGAATAAACTCCTTCACTATTATTCAATTGATTCAAAATCAATAAAAGAATTTCATTGAGCAAATCAACAAGTTTAACTAACCTATTTTGCAAATTCATCTTCCACTATGAATTTTATTTAATATCCTCTATGTAGAAATATATACATATATATGTGCCAGTTGACATGAGAATTCACTTGAGTTTGAAATGCGGATGATATAATAAAAAATAAATATATAGAACGAGATAATTAAAATAACTGTATAAGTTAAGACAATGAAAAGAAAATTTTTGTAGAGAAAAAATAAATAAAGGTTAAAAAAAATGATTCAAGATAACAGCCACATCCATAAAAGTTTGAACCAAACAAAATTCAATTATTTATTGATTATTGAGATCTAAGTAATCGTTCAATGTTCCTATATCACCGAGAGCAAAAAGACTTGAACATCTATAATCATATAAAAAAGAAAAAACTTTTTGTTGATTAATGAAATCGAAACAATTATTCAAACTCCACATATCTTAGACATAAAAACTAATTCTGAAAACAAATTTTATATTGAATATAGTATACATATAGCAAGCTTATCACTATTAAATGATAGAACAACAATCTGTAAATACGTGCGTCTCATCCAATAAACTACAAAAACACAATCAGATTCGATTATTAATAAAGAACTCTTCGTGTTTAAATATTGAAATATAGCTTCTATTATATATCGAGAACATACAATTCCAATCTCAACTATTTAAATTCTGATTTCACTTGCCACGTATATATGTATATGTGAGTGAATTGAAAACTTTCGGTATGATTGAAGTTTTGGCTGAATTTGTCTAATAACTTTTCTTTCTGATGACCAGTTTGAGCAATTATTTCTATATATGTCTCCATTATGAGTGTTTCACTCCTCATATCTATACGTTTCAATGAGTCATTCAAATTGGCTCAAATTTTTAAAGTAGATGTAAAACTAAACGTTATCAAAGTGATGAATATTTCAGTTGTGGATCTTGTACCATTCAAGAGAAATTAACATTGAAACTGCAAAATGTAGAGTGACACCTTTTTTCGCTGATATTTCTAATTGATTTGATTCGAAAATATTCTTTTAGAGTATAGTTTAGATGAAAAGGACGCGGCGCAAGTAAATTCAAGTGTATTGTGACCTTTTTCTGACCTTCCACGCAAAGCTGAAAAATGTCTCGAACTTTTTCAATGAGTAAAGTCCATTGTATCATAGAATTATGCAGAAATTCAACTGTACCAGATGTGTTTCCTTTGATATTCAGTGATGTTTTGGAAAAATTTTTGTTACTTAACATAGGCATAGAGTATAATAAAGTAGACTATCTAACAATTATTTGAGGCTTATATTTTCACCACTAATTCATCTGTCAAATATCATTTATATTTCTTAAATAAGAAAAAATACATACGCTATATTCTTTTTCTTAAAAATTACTGATGTAACAAGAATTATAAGAAGTCATTTCTTGATGAGTATGAATGAAGAAAAAGGAGCAGATAGATACCTATACCTGTGTTTATAAGTTATATTGAGTATTGTTCATGAAATCAATGTCATAAATTGAGATTCAAATATTGCTGATTTAACTAATATGAATTATCTTTATCTTACTTTGACAAAGTTCTTATGTTTATGAACAAGTCTAACAAGAAATGACAAAATACGACTTTAAACATATGATGCGTTGTGACAGTTTCCGTGGAAACTCAATTAAATATCGTCGAAGGAAATATGAAGATATAGAGATATTGATTAACTAGTGCAGATAATCTTTAAATAATGCTTGACTTTTAATAGCGATCTATTGAGATATATTCATGAAACTTATCGATCCTTGCTCGAAAAAATCAATCATAATAAATAAGTAACTGTTTACTATATCTCCTACATCTCTATATCTCCTTCGTCGATGTCTAATTGAGTTCCCGAGGAAACTATTCGAAGACATCTAAACGAAACATGGCAATAAAGATCACTGGGGTGTGGGTGTAGAATAAAATGAATCGCGAACCTAATCACACACTCACACCCTACGAACAGCTTCAGTCATCGTAGTTGCAATTTTCTTGTTATGAACGATTTCAATTGCTAAAATGTTCATTGGAATGATCAATGTTCATCGAGACGGCGGCTTGCTTTACATGTAATTGTTCAAGATGAAAATATTCTCAGTACGATAATTGCATCAATCTTACTAGTAAATAATTATAAGTGTGAATACACATGATTTCAACTCATAAATCTTTTATTATATCGAAGTCGTAACAATAGCAACACGTTGATAATCATTGATCGTTTCTGGATTGCATCAAGTCTATATAGGATCAACCATAATTATCAGTATATTTCTTCTACTACGGATTGTCGGACCATAACTGATGAGTAGGAATTTATTATTGATTATTTTTATTTGAATTATATTATTATTATTAGAGCTTTAACCAGCTAAAGAATGCTTTTATTGCGTATCACACTAATTCAACTTCATCAGCATATTATCATGAGACACCACTTTATTAGTTTTCATATGCTAGTGTGATAATTTATACACTTTATTTCTCATTATTGTGTTTTTCAATTGGAATATGAACGATTAAGAAATGGATACATTCTTGTTCGACATCAACACAAGGTTAACGTTGATTATCAATATCCATGATAACGGCATTTCCAAAATACATAATACACAGAGTATTGAAGTAACGTATATCTACTTCTACCTAGCAAGCCTTACTTCTAGGTACTATGATCAAATTACCTAAAATAATAAAAAGAGCAATGCTGAGAGCATGTGAAATGAGTGTGGCTGCTTTTCATTTGTTAATCACACAAACACTCACACCCTCAGACCTGTTCGTCTTATTGAAAAAATTCAAATCTATCAAACTTGATTATAGGCAAAAATTTTGATCGAAACTATTTTTTTTGAATTCTTCGAAAACATGTTGCTATCAGGAATACTTTCACTACAACAATCATGATTGTGTATCGGAAGAGACATTGAAGTAAAACCCTTTTAACTTTAACAGTCTTATTGACATGTACCCATGATCATAACACGAGGACGAATAGTCTGCAGCAATTTCATGTTTTCCCGTTAGATTTTTATTATCGACTCATTAGTTTGAAATAAAAAAACCTAATTAAACGCTAATAACAAAGAATAACTTAAATATCTATTTCAAATTATTGAATTCTTTATTTTTATTAACAAGAGAAAAAAACGAGAGACAAACACAAATAAAAATAATAAAGATTTTCTGTTCTTTTGATCATGTTAATGAAATTAATGGAGCCAAAGCAATATCATTTTTTGTTCGATTTCTTTTGAAACCATCAACTAATTTTTGTGCCCATGAATTCGAAATTTTATGATTAAGTTGTAAATGACGTTCTAATTTATAAAGTGCAACTAAACGACGTCGACAAGGTGGAATGGTTACATTTCGTTGACTATCTTTTAATGAATTAACTTGTCCATAAAAAAAAGGACATGGGACTTTATAAAAATGATCAATTACATCTTCTTTTTCATCAAATAATTTTGTTATCCTAGGATCTTGATTATCGGCAACAGCTCGTACCAAACGTTGAGCATAAACTTTTTTTAATTGATGCTTGTAAACGAAATGAAGATATAATTCGATTGCACGAGCTTGTCTCTGCTTACAAAACTCAATAGAATGATTTGCTTTAGTAAGACCATACGCTCCATTAAATGTTAATGGACATTTCTTAACAATTTTTCTGTATGATATTTGTTTACGTTCCTCTTCTTCTTCTTCTTCTTCATTTACATATTGATCCTAAAAAAATATAATGAATTGTTAAATATCATGTATGATTTATTTCATACAAAAATGAAACTAATTTAGATGTATATAAAAAAACGACGAACTGATTTTATAATAAATATCGTATCTGATGTTGACTTGAATACAGAAAAGCATAACAATATTAGGAAGAATAAAGTATGAAATTCATGTAAACTGATTTCATATAATATCTGATTGAAAATAGGACTTCGCTACAAAGCGAAGTTTATTAATGAAAATATCTAAGCTCGAAAAATTCTCTAATTTTTGTGTACAAAACTCATTTCGATAGTAAAATCGTATTTTTGTTAATTATTTTGAAGAGCAAATCTGCGAGATATGAATATTTCACATATTCGAAAAACAGTAGATTGTTCTCTTAGAACTTCATTGTTTTAGAAATTTGCTTTGCTAAATAATCTCTAATGAATGTACGGCTTTTATTTTATTTACTACTGGTATTTTTCTAATTTAATCATTTCTTGTCATTTGGCTTTAGAGCGAAAATTTTGCTGAGAAACATCATTTTTATGATTCCTACTTGAAACAAAAGTTTTAAATCAGATATATTCCACTCAGGGGTCGCAGCGGTCTAGTATGCAAAATCAGGAATCAGGACAGGAATTTTCAAGAAAAAAAATCAGTATTTGACCGAATAAATCAGGGTTCTCAAA